GAGCTCAAGCCTAATGGTAAGCCTAAATTCAAGCTCCAATCACAGCGCAGCTTCGGTGAGCTTGCCTCAGGAGTAGAAATTAATGTCTCCCGTAAGTTCTGCCATCTTGGATCCCAGGAAAAGCATGGGACGAATCGACCGCACTACCCGAATAAGTACCAAAAAATGTCATAAGTGCTGAAGTTTTCAAACACAACCATATTGAGAGTGGTCATATGAGAACTGCACACAAACCACTATGAGCTGCGTAAGCGCCAGAGCAGAACAACTGAGTCAAAAAGTGTGAAGAGTCGGTGTCAGGGGCCGGAAAATGCAAATACGTGAGGACCGTTTTTATCGACGACAAAATTCCTACTGTGGAGCAAATCAGTCTTTTGAGGAAGCGCTCGCACGAATCTGAGGAAGCGGAAGAAAGAGAAAGGAATATTTCCTAGAAGCAGCCTTTATCATGGTTTGGGCCGGGTTTATACCGGTCGCTCACCACCTCTGTCCGTTGAAAAGCAAATAAAACTGGGACCGAGACCTAGCTCACGGATGTTTCAATCTCTCTATTTAGCCACTTTGAGTAGGACTTATGTTTTTTTCAGTAGGACTACCATATACATAGGGAGCGGATTTGTTAAGGATATGTCATGCATCCTTCACGTTTCACATCCTCAAACGGAAGGCTTTCCCTATCCCTTGTTTTCAATGTGCTTGTACGCTATACTAGGGGACAAAGCCTGCACTAGGCAATAAACCCACATAGAAGAACTGAAACTTCTAAAGAACTGAGAATCTGGACGAGGGCACCTAGAATGTCATGCGGGCCACAGTAGAGCTGGTTTGAAGCTGAGAGCCGTGCATTTCTGGCTAAAATTCGTGGATCACCTCTTTGAGATGCATCCCTTTCGAGAGATCACAAGCTATGAAACGTGGTGCAATATTTATGGGACACCCTGTACATTGAAAACACCAATGCAACCCCTTAGGAGGCAAAAGGGACCACTTTGGAATTTTGTCACCCATTTTGTTATTACATTTTCACATGGTATCCCTTATGCGCAAAATATCAACGGACAGTTGGCACTGAATAGGAGGATATAGTAATCATCACGTGGGAATGTCTGAGCTAGCTGTGTACTAGCCAGGGTTCCATGGCCATCCATTCCTCACCACGTGGTTCACCCCGCTTCCAACTGTTATCGGAACTCAATGAAATAACACTGCAAGGTCCCCATCACGGGGAAAACCACCCATGAACATTCTGAAACGCTTGACAGAGTTTAGAGAGTGTCACTTTTTGGCTTCCTAACAAGAAACAAACTTCAAACTAACTCTGAAATCACGGGTGGCCACTCCTCAGCTTCTCCTGACAAATCACACACTTGAAAGGGGACTTCAAAATCAGAAAAAATTCTTCGCTACAGAATACGAACCTTTGGTGAAGTGATCGACCGCGATCAGGCTCTACAAACTTTGCAAAAGTGAAACTTCACTGAAGGAAGGTTGAGGTGACTTTCATAAGGTCAGCGGCTGGTCTAGCTTTTCGTAACCAGGTGGATCTGTTAATGTGGAAAAAGTACTCCTGATAATGTGTCAAACTACTCCTAGAACTCTGGCACATATGCTCGAAATTCCTCATTATAAAGGAACCGGCTCGTCCCTGACAGGTAGCTCGGACGCACATTCCACAACCAACCCTGCAGAAGTTGGACAAGATTGGCTACGAATTAGTCCTGCGAACATCCTACTCGGTAGACCTTTTGCCTATAATTTGTCACTTTCTCGACTACCTGGATAGCTTCTCCAAAGAGTTATGCTTCAAAAACCAACATGATGCGGAAACGACCTCCGCCGGGTTCATCGTCTCTAGAGCTCCAGTATTCTGCACTACCGGGCTGATTCAACGCAGCTATTATTGGCAGAGGTTTGTGGATTCTAACAGTCTTTACTCCAATCAAAAAGGTTTCGAATGAGCCGAGATACAGGCATTTGAAAATCAAGGTCCAAAAGCGCAAGAACTTTCTCACCTAATAATAGAAAAAACATGAGGTGATATATATTTATGGGACGCCAGTGTAGAAAGTCGACAATTAAGAACACCTTTTGTGTTATAAACTTCCATAAATAATAGTTGCTGTTTCCAACTGTCTTTTAGGTTTCGCCAACTAGGGATTTTTCACAGATCACCACTCGTTATCCGTAATTTGTGGCCAACCTGTATAATAACATTTTTCTCAGATTTCTTCGACTTCACAAAGACCCGGCATGCTTCGTCAGTTATTGATCCTTAATCACTTCCATTGCTGTAAATAGCATCCAATGGTAGATACCCTCAAGACTAATATACACTTCAGGTCGCCCCCATATACCTAGGAGGCCCTACGATGCAAATAAGCGGCAGGTTCATCCAGATTCCCAAAGATGCGGGCCAAGACTATTTTATTGCAGTGCGTCACCAGATATGATTGATAGTGCTCGCAATAGTCCGAGTCGAACACGGCGTTAGTTAGCATTAGTCGGCTGTTGGCGCTTTTTCTGAAAAGATTTATCGTGGTTTTTCACCATGTCGAATTACATAGATTATTGCAATGATAATAATCAACCAGGCTTTACTTCAATAATTATAGTAAAACCATGATTCGAAAATCTATAATTTTTACGCTTAATTTCTAATACTGTCTAAACTGGAGATCTACCCAAGCATCCCATAAAAGCATCCTAATAAAGTAACGCCGAAGCGGTAAATTAACTGAAGCGAAGTGACGCTTAAGGTACCTTGTGGTTAAATAAATAATTGTTTAGTCATGTTATCGCTCAGCCAGTTTGATCTTATCATAGCTTGATTTTCTTGCTTTTTTATTCAAAAACAAAAACTCTTTAGAGATCGATATCATGCAAAGGTTCTGGAATATGAAAGCAGAATTTGATTTGTGAATTTTTGCTGAGATTATAAAAATTTTTTCTGTATTGTCACAGCTTTTCGAAAATCATTCGTGACAAATATTAGTGCAGTAGTTAAATCGAAGCCCGTCGAATTTGCTCTAAATAATATTTCCTTGTGTCTGTCTGAACATAATCTTACAAAATACCTATTGTATGAAATCTTGCAAGGTAGTCAAGTCTTCAGAACTGAATAAGACAGCGCGATGGAACATTTTATAGAATTTAGATTTTCGGAATAAACTGAAATATGATCGCAATCTTCTAGACTTGTATACCCATTTCTACTCAAAGTTTACCCACAGAAGAACCATTTTGTGAATTTTCTAGTAACTTTTCCCAAGTCGTGTAAGTTTCGACATTTTCGTGGACCTTTGGCCACCGTAATACGCCGTGGCGTTCAGTGGCGTGTATGTTGCGATGGGTCCTGACTACGGTTGACACAATATGACGTCCGTTTCTGACTTGCTGAGCCTTATAATCCGAATAAGTTTATTTTAATGTTAAATTCTACTTGAGAGACGTTGCTAAAAGGAAGCACCTTTTGGGAAAATTTTCAAGCTTATTCCGATCCGAGGTACTGTAACATTGGAAATATACGAGATAAAACTTGAATATCTGGGAAAACCCAGCGCTTATAAAGACGAAAGAGGCTTTCTGAGCCCTTCAGACCACTGATCATTCCAATTGCAATTGCATCCCGTAGAGAAAGTGCCCTTTGGTTCTCTTTGCACTTCAGCGCTTGCACTTTTGCTCGCAGTGATCACCAACACTGATGTTCTCTGTTTTAAGAGTACCCCTTTTTACCGCAATTTTGAAGGCTTTCAATTACATTTTAACTTTATGACGTGGATTTTCGTCTTCTACGTTATTGTTAGGGCTGTAACTGAACATTCCCTTTCCGATTTTCGACTATTCTTCCGATTTCCGACAAGGTCCATTTACTACATAACTTGCCATAACTCTTTGTTCCTCAAAATAGGATTTATATTTACCAGAAAACGGTCTTCAGAATACTCAGAAATTTTTATTTGCACGCTATCAATTCATACGTATAGTATTCATAACATCGTTTCCGAGCTTCAGCACCTTTGTGCCAGCTGATCTTTGGTTCTTTCTCGTTTCCGCTTCTCACCATTAGTATCTATTCGTAAAATACTTGTATTACTACAGTTTACTTTCCAGATGTTGCTGTCAACGCTGACACCACGGCTTGTCTCCAGGCAATGCCTGAATCGAATTATTGCGATCAGATTCGCTTCAAAGGGAATGAAGCTCGATGTAAGTCAGAGCCTAGAATACAACTTTTTGGTTGGAGGTTTTTGGGTTGGGGTTCTACAACTCAAACTTGTAGATAAAGAAGATGTTTTCGCCTTTCTAGGGTAAGCAAACGCTGACGGCTGATCCAAGCTCTTGGCTTCTTCAAATACGAGCGAGACATTTCTCGGGATCCTCGTTATCACAATCCTCAGAAGCTTGGCGACACTCCTACAAGGTGAGGCATTCATATTTACGTTATCTTTTCGTCCTATTGTTTCCTAGTGAATTTCTTGAATAGTTGGGTATTTCAAAACGGTTGGAACTCTCGGCATTCGGGGAAGTTCGACAGGAAAAAAAAGCGAAACCAACCACAAATTCAGAATCATTGATCGGAGCCAGTAGAAGGCGAGGCGCGGACATTATTAGGCCGGTGACAGAGCCCGCGATACGTCGCTCGAATCGCGGACTCTGACACAAGCTCTACGCAGACGCAACAGCGCGCTTGCTTTTCATGTGCTACGCACACAAAAAAAACGCATTTGTTTGATAGTATTTCGCAGTAGGAAAATACTAAACTCATAGTTTCATCTTTTCCAAGCATGAGATTAATACCTTGGAGCCGATCGACGGTCAGCAGCCCATATGTAGGCTGCTGACCGTCGACCGTGTAGGACCTTTTCAACCAGCATTTCGAAACAAATATTAAGTTTTTCTTTTGTTTTCTTTTCCATTTCATTCGATAAGGTTTCTTCTGCATCATACAGTAGGTTTTCTTTCAATTTGCTTGATAAGATTCCTAAAAATTTCACTGAAGTCCCACGTGGCCGCAAAACGTGAAACATGCGCATACGCCAACTAAAACTACTCAGTGTCTGTATTTATTCGACTTTTCAATCACGAGGGCATTTTTACGTCTCCGCAAAAATACCAACTACTCATAATAAATAGATTTTAAGGAAAATAAACGGAAAGGCTTCAAAAAACGGAAGTGTTTGTATTGAAGCCTCCTTGGATGTCTGTTATGGTATTGCACCTTGATGGTCAAACGACCTCCTTTGAATCGATTTGAATTTTAGGATCACAGACGTGGGATTGCTTGGCCCCACTCCTAGATAGAAGAAAAATGTTCAATGCTATTGTAATGAGCTGCCCCTCAGATTTTTGCTGTTGTTACCTTAACAAAAACGAAAAGCACGTAGATTTCAAGAGATCTACTCTCTGGATAATGTCCAAACACAACTATTTCAGATTCTTGGTGCGAAAACTTCACCACGCCTACGAATTGTACCCAATTTTCGCTCTCACTGGTGTCTGGTTTATAATGTTCTGCTACGTCATCTACTACTCGTTCAGCAAGGCTGAAGTATGGCTGGATAGAAGTGAGTGGAAATTGTTCTTATTTCAGACGCTGCTTTATAACATAGAAGTCCAAATTAAAAAAAAAAAATTAATCGCACACCGGGCGTCTAAATGTTCAATACCAAATGTTCAGGTTAAAAGTGGCGCACTGCATTATGACGTTTGAATCTATGCATAACTGAGTGTTCAGCAGTACAAATTACTCTTCCCTATTCACATAGTTATAAGGAATTTCTTTAAACAAACAGCCAATAAGATCACACAATTGGGCAGCAAGCCTGTAAACAAACGCACTCGAGCACCACAATCCATAGCACGCGAGGAAATTGCAAAAATCAAAACGGCAAAGAGTTCGCAGATGCAGCTTCTGTACCGCAATCTTGACTGTAAAGCGAAACGTTACACGATCACTACACTATTTGTAAACTCACTACAAAAACTTTTCAGCAAGACGACGCACATGCATGGGAGAGCCGTGAGATTACTACAAGAATCCATCACTTTTGCTAAGTCATCGAATTACTTTACTCTATTGTTAGCGAAAGTATAATTATAATAATTCTAATGTTGTTTTATTAATTAACTAATTAATTATTATAATTACAGTGTTGTCAAAGTATTTCAATGGATTTCAGTCGACAAAGAGGATTACCTCACAGGGAGATTGGAGAGATCTTGGAAGTTCTGCAAGACCAAATGGTAGAGGCAGCGAAGGCTCGCGGAACACGCTAGCTAGATTTGTTACTTATGTGTAGAAATATCGTTTGAATAAACTAGTGATGATGATTTGACAAGCTTGTGAATACTGACATTTAGCAATACGCCAATTTGACTAATGTTAATGTGTTTGATAATGAAGGTCTCGTAAGTGCATTTCATCAAATAACATTTCCAATACACACATTTTTACAAGGCTACACCTGAACGCTGACCCAAACTCAAGAGTGGGCTTTTTGGACTCCCACGAGTACCCGAAGAAAGCAACTATCTCCGAAAACGAAAAAAAACCGCGACTTTTACTGAATTGCACAGTAGCTGGAGTACAGCAGTAGATTTGAAATGACATACTGGGTCCCTATTTCCGCAAAAATAGCATGCAAAGCAAAAGCAAAACTTCTCCAACTTTGAATCAGTTGTGTAAAGGACGTCAAAAAAAATGGGTGTGTGACATGAGTTCTAGGCAGGGCAAGTTAGCTCGTCTACGCGCGAAAATAGATGTCGGGAGCCGTCTTCAGCCGGCCAAGAAGTTTCGCTCGCCTTTAGCAAATAGCACTTTCGTGGTTTTTTTTGAGATCTTCTCGCGTAAAGCTAAGCTGTAGATCAATAGCAGGTATCTTCCTATTCATTTGCAAGATTTTGAGAACTAAAAGCTTTCCCTGTAAGGAACTGCTTCTCAGAACCGTAGCCGAAATGGCTTATTCACTGCTCCATTTCGAATTTACTTTGCAAAAACGAAGCCTGTTTGAAGTCGGAAGAAAATTGCGTTCTGAATCCAAGCGGTTAGTTCCTTATAGTCGAAAAAATCGCTCGCGTTGGGTTGAGCAGATTTCTCTCGGATTTAACCTTTCAAACTGGTGGCAATTTTGACCAAACTAACTTTCAAAAAATATCTCCACCTCTACTAAAACTTCCTCGAAAAAAAAACGAGTTCCGAAGGATTGCTTCCCTTCTAAAGAACCGAGTCATAACTCTCTGCAAGTGAAACATCCTCTACTGAACCAATACAGTATTTTCTTTGAATTTAACATTTAAGTTGAATTCATTTTGATTTGTTGGCCAAGTATACTTCAAATTCGGATATTGTGCGCTCTTCACCAAAGAAGAACGCCTCCACCCTGTACCTACGAAAAACCGTCCGTATAAGCGCACAAATAAAGCCAACAAATCATTTATCCATAACAATAACAAGATTACTTAAGAGGGATGAATCGTGATGAATGGGTGGCTCCGATACCTGGCCTACCGTGCTTGACAGGCTTGTAGGTGATGGCAAATTCTCCCAAATAATATCCAATCATCTCTGGCTTGATCTCAGTCTGGAAACAACAAGAATTTTTCCCCTATTTTCACGGTTTGAAAAATATAACTCTACCTGGTTGAAAACTTTTCCGTTGTAGATACCAATGACGGAACCGACCATTTCTGGAAGGATGACCATGTCACGCAGGTGAGTCTTTACTGTAGCCGGCTTCTCCAGAACATTGGCGGCCTTCTTTGCCTTTTGCAAACGAGAGATCAAGTTCAGGTGCTTTCTCTTCAATCCTCGTGCAAGACGTCTGCGCATGCGACAGGGCAGCATTTTTGCGAACTGGTCACTGAAAAAGAAATGAATGAGGAATAGAATCAACTAGCAAAATCACTGCCAGAAAACAAGGCAAAATATAACCAAACAACTAAAAACTGCTTTCAACCACAAGTAGACCTTGTAGAGAGGAAAATATGAAAGCAAGAGTACACCGATTCAGAAAAGGCCTTAAAACTGTTCCTGACCTAGAATTCAAAGGAATTCGGTGATAATCTAACGAAAGGAATGCTAGACGGATAGTATTACCACAAAAACGCTACACTTCAGAAATCTCTGCCTACTCGAAACAAAGTAATTAGGTAAAAATTGGGAAGTTCTTCTTCCCGTCGGTTCCTAATATAGTTTATTCATGTTGGATCGCGTCCGAAAAGATCTCTATTCCCTAATCAACACAAAATCGGAAAGCCCAAGTGTAGGCAACCATCGTATCTACTGAGAGAGCTAGACAAGAGCTTCCAAAAATAGCTGGACAAGTTTTGATAAATTATCCATGGATACATTTAGAATTGTTAATATTAATATCTTGTCTAGTTCTATTTGAGCAGCAAGTTGTAATCGTAGACATATCGCATGTCTTGAAAAGGGCTTAGGAATTCTTCTTGAAAACATCTGGTACTGAAACTAATTCAATGCATTTATTTAGATTACAAGAGGGTATCATTTCAATAGCACAGAGGTTCGTCTTGGCATCGTGTGTGGTATTCGTACTAGATTGCTTCTGAAGCCACAAGCCAAGATGATACAAGACTTTATTTGGCTATTTGGCTATATTTGGTATCACTTCAGTGCCCTCCCCCCACCCCAAAAAAAACAAACTGCACTCAAATCACCCCTGTTGAGGCACTAAACCTTTTTTGTTTCCCAAATCACACCATCCAAAAAAGAACGCGCTCACTATTGTCAACAAAGAATAAACATCCGTCACCTACACAAGATGCAACTGCGATTTTGCCGAAGCCGTTTAGACTTTCGCGGATAGATCTTGGTTGGGGACGGTTCATACTCCAGAGGGAACAACAAAATGTGTCCACAAGAGAATTGTTCTTCTCTCTCTCTCCATAACGCTCATTACATGCCA